TGTGAAAGATTTGTACACAGGTGTAAAATGTCTGTGAAAGATTTGTACACAGGTGTAAAATGTCTGTGAAAGATTTGTACACAGGTGTAAAATGTCTGTGAAAGATTTGTAAAATGTCTGTGAAAGTACTGAAAGGTTTGTAAGCTGGTGTAAAATGCCTGTGAAAGATTTGTAAAATGTCTGTGAAAGGTTCGTAAAGCGGTGTAATTTGTTGGAAGAAAAGAGGTGTTCAAAGTGCTGGAACGTCGGCTAGGCGCAGTATTTGACGTATTTCTTCTCTAATGTTGTCGGTTCACATTTTGGTTTTTGTGTTCTTGAAGAGGAAGAAACTGATTTCAAAAGCTTTGTGTAACATTTTCTGCACTGAATTAATGCCTTCGTCCCCATTCAATCTGTTTGTCTCACACACAGTAAAAATGAGTAGCTCTAAAAAATTGTCCTCTGAAGTGAAACTTTGAAGCAAGTTTTGAATTATTTGTGGGCTGTTTATCTGACAGTGTTCTTGCGGAAAATAAATGATTTCATTCCAGATGAATACACACGCAACAGCTGGAAGTCTGACTAGATCCTTTTGTCTTGGCTTTGGGTTGTCATTGCACAACTTTGTGTTTTGTCTCACCTTACGAGGGGGATGGTAGCGCTGGTGGAACTAGTTGACTCACAAATCTGGTTACGTCTAGCTGGCATTGTTGTGAAAGTGCTACGTCCTATTGTTGTTAATGTGCTATGTCCTAAGTGCTGTGTGCTATTGTTATTATAGTTATATCCTATTGTTGCGGAAGTGCTGGGTCCTATTGCTATGTCCTATTGTTGCGGAAGTGCTGTGTCCTTTTGCTATGTCCTATTGTTGCGGAAGTGCTGTGTCCTATTGCTATGTCCTATTGTTGCGGAAGTGCTGTGTCCTATTGTTGCGGAAGTGCTATGTGCTATTGTTGCGGAAGTGCTGTGTCCTATTGTTGCGGAAGTGCTGTGTGCTATTGTTGCGGAAGTGCTATGTGCTATTGTTGTGGAAGTGCTGTGTCCTATTATTGCGGAAGTGCTATGTGCTATTATCGCGGAAGTGCTGTGTCCTATTATCGCGGAAGTGCTATGTGCTATTGTTGCGGAAGTGCTGTGTCCTATTGTTGCGGAAGTGCTATTGTTGCGGTACTGAACCTTCTGAGTGGTGTGACAATGTCTCCTTGGCTTGGTCCCCCATAGCCTATTGTTTCTTTCCTCCTATTTTCTGTGACCCAATGTTGCTGATTCTCATGACTGGATGATATGTCAGATAGTTCCTTGTGATAGAGTTTTGCTCAGTGCATTCTCCTTACTTGAAGTTCATTGTAATGTTAACCGAAAAAGAAATAAAATAGTTTCTTATTCACTAATTGATTTGTTTTAAAAAATTGTTTGTACAAGTTTCTACTGTTTATCTCACAACTTTCTACTGTTTCTCTTTTCACTCTCTACTTCTACTTCTACTGTTACTGTCACACTTCTACTGTTACTGTCACACTTCTACTGTTACTGTTACTTTCACACTTCTACTGTTACTCTCACACTTCTACTGTTACTGTCACACTTCTACTGTTACTGTTACTGTCACACTTCTACTGTTACTGTCACACTTCTACTGTTACTGTCACACTTCTACTGTTACTGTTACTGTCACACTTCTACTGTTACTGTCACACTTCTACTGTTACTGTCACACTTCTACTGTTACTGTTACTGTCACACTTCTACTGTTACTGTCACACTTCTACTGTTACTGTTACTGTCACACTTCTACTGTTACTGTCACACTTCTACTGTTACTGTTACTGTCACACTTCTACTGTTACTGTCACACTTCTACTGTTACTGTTACTGTCACACTTCTACTGTTACTGTTACTGTCACACTTCTACTGTTACTGTTACTGTCACACTTCTACTGTTACTGTCACACTTCTACTGTTACTGTTACTGTCACACTTCTACTGTTACTGTCACACTTCTACTGTTACTGTTACTGTCACACTTCTACTGTTACTGTCACACTTCTACTGTTACTGTCACACTTCTACTGTTACTGTTACTGTCACACTTCTACTGTTACTGTCACACTTCTACTGTTACTGTTACTGTCACACTTCTACTGTTACTGTCACACTTCTACTGTTACTGTTACTGTCACATTTCTACTGTTACTGTCACACTTCTACTGTTACTGTCACACTTCTACTGTTACTGTTACTGTCACACTTCTACTGTCACTGTTACTGTCACACTTCTACTGTTACTGTCACACTTCTACTGTTACTGTTACTGTCACACTTCTACTGTCACTGTTACTGTCACACTTCTACTGTTACTGTCACACTTCTACTGTTACTGTTACTGTCACACTTCTACTGTTACTCATACCTTGCTCCTATGGCTAGTGCTATCGTTCAGCTACGTCCTTGACCTCAAGAGTGGGAAAGTCGGAAACCGCCTTATCAGGTCTCGGGAGAGTGCGAACTATCTCGGAGTTCCCGTGTGCAAGGTGCCCACGTTAAAGATCCCTTGGTGATCTTAAACTCGATAAGAGTAGGCTTCGACCGCCACTCGGACAAAAATTCAAAATTGATTGCTATCAAAACTGAAAAGTGTAATCAATTATATAGAAACATGGAGCACCTTTGGGAGTGTGGCAGTGCAGCTGCCTCAAGGCACTATAGACCTTTCTCTCTCTCTCTCTCTCTCTCTCTCTCTCTCTCTCTCTCTCTCTCTCTCTCTCTCTCTCTCTCTCTCTCTCTCTCTCTCTTTCACTCTGACACACTCTCTCTCTCTCTCTCTCACACACACACACCCACACACACACACACACACACACACACACACACACACACTCTCACACACACACACACACACACACACACACACACCTTACTCCTCTCCCCACTCAATGTAACATAACTTGATGTACTTTTCTGTCACAAAACCTTCACGAGTTCGGATTTCCGTTTTGCATCACCGGCCAGAGTAGCCGAGAGTTGTGCCCCTTCTCAAACAACACCAAAAATGGCGAACAGAGCACCGACATCGTCTTCTTCTCGAAGAAAGTCTGACGGTTCAGGATTTCAGAAGAAACCTGGTCAGAACAAACCTGCAGGCAAAAAACCTTTACCAGAACCAACCCATATAGGGCATTTCATAATGATGCTCATCATGAAAGTTTGCCGAATGATCCTGTTTGTTGACACGTCAGTGAAGATCGGGGTCTACCTCATCGGAGTCATGTTCGGCTCTATTATTTGTGACCTCTTTGTAGTGCCTAAAACTATTTTTGCGAATTCACGAAACCCCCTGAATCAGTATTTTATCAAACTCGGTTGGGCCTGGACTTTCACATTTGTTACTGCTTATATTATTCTCACGAGTTTGGTCTACTGTTGCCGCGATATTCCCAGAATGTGCCAACATATCCTTCGCATTGCTGTGGGAACTTTCTGGTGGTACACTTGTACCTCGATGTTTGTTCACATTGAGAAAGTTGTGGGCTTGTGTACTCTTTCAAGTCACGGAGATAAATCGTCTTGTGAAGAAGCTGGAAGAAGTTGGCTGGGATTTGATATTTCTGGACATGTCTTCCTGGAAATTCATTGTCTCCTAATTATATCAGAAGAACTCAAAACCTTCAAAGAATGGAAGAAATTAGGAATGATCCTCGAGGATGAAGACTTGAAAGATAAAAGAAGGGTATCGGAAGAGGAAATTGCACAAGGACAGATGAATTATAAGACATTAACGCCGTACATCAAGATTCTTGTTTTGTGCATCTCAGTAATTTTTGTGCTGTTTGAGTTTATGCTTCTCATTTCGACAATTTATCGATTTCATACTTTGTCTCAAAAAGTGACAGCTTCTTTTGTTGCTGTTATTTGCTGGTTTTTGAGTTACAGAGTTATTTTCCGCTCGGCGTGTCCTTTTCCTTTTGTGCCAGTGATGCCAGGTTATAGTCTTCTCAATTTTATGAAAATAAGTTAGGGCTGGGAAGGAATGGTTGTTTTTTCCACAGACTTTGAACTTACTTTGTGTTACCATAAATATTTTATATTATAATTATAGCTGTGGCATTTGAAAAAATCAATTTTTTTATGATACTTGTATAATCCTGAATGATGTGATCTCTTCTTAATCTTATTCTCATGGTTTTGGTTAGAAATAAGTGCTGCTTTATAAATGTTTCTTTTCATTTCACCTTTTCTTCATGTACTCGTGCTAACTTAGATGAAGAGCTTATAATAAGTTATTTTATAAAAACATGGTTATTTGCAAAAGCGAATTTGATTTTTGATAAGGGAGAGTGGGGCATTAGGAAATTATGATTTCAGCTGTTTTGAGACTTTGTCACAGGGCTTCTCACTAATTACTTACCTCTAGCTGTGTGACCTCAGGCTTGGAACTGACGGAACCTGTGCTCGGGACTCAAATGTCTCAGGATCTTCTGCCTCGACTGAGCTTGTCTGAGTCGTCTGTTTTGTTCCTTTACCAGTCCTTATAGTTTTTTAAAAAGTTTCCCTCCAATCTGGTTGTCCATTCACAAACTTAGGTTCCTCGTCCTTTTCAGACAATGACGTTATAATATAGCAATGCCAATCGCCCGCTGCGCCTTGTGCCGGAAATCGGCCTCCGCGCGAGGGGTATTTTTTGGGCCGCTCGGAATCAGAAGTGACTCTCTTCTAAGTATATAGTTACGGGAAAACTCCAGGACGAAAATAAATGAAACTCGGCAACCAACCAGAGGAAAGGTTAAACTAACGACATGCCAGCGTACAATCCCGAACGATTACTACTAGAACCGGAGTTGCCGTGTTTGTGAGAATTTCCTCTGCGGTTCGAAAACTAAGCGGAGCTGCGGGTTGATCGCCGACCACACAAGCGCCCCACATGTTTTCTTTATTGCTGTAAAATTTCAGATCTCTGCATTTAGTAGATTTTCCGTACCAACTTAAAATTACCACCCACCCATTGATAAAACACTAGATCTAGAAACTTAATCGCGCATTCCAAACGCGAGGTGCCAGCATGCAAGAGGCGCGTGATCGCTAGGCGGCATGTGATTGGCTGCCTATAACCAAATGGGTCACCGATGACTACATCGCAGGTTTTCCCGATAGCGCTTTACTGAGTTTTAGAAGGGGTGATCGCGTCGCGGTAAAAACGATGTCACGCAATTCAACAGATTTCACGCAAATATCAGTCTTTAAGATCCAAAGTAATGAAGACATAGAAAAAGTGATAGCAGAACTAGATTGGGCACTAAAAATCACATGGAGATGCCAACTTTCATTCATATGCTCCCAATTCATTACTGACTTATGAACAGTTTTTCCTCAAAATACAGTCGAACCTGCCCTCACGGCCACCTCTATAAGACGGCCACCTGTACAAACGGCCACTTTCCATTTCCCCCCTTGCGTTTTTTCTATATAATTTAACTGTGTAAAACGGGCACCTGTCCAACGCGGCCGCGGCCACCTTATTTAAACACACAACCCCTATCACACTAAGCAATAACACCCGTCTAAGACGGCCACCTTAGTGACTCCATTTCGTTTTGTCATAAATTGTGCTTTGGCCCCTGGCGTTGTGGGCGAGCTGTCATAATTCAATCCCCTGTCGCTGTTGTTAGGTAGTCCCTCCAACCGATCATGTTGCGTAGGCCCCTCCCACTGTTGACCAATAGCTACCAATTTTCAGCTGCTGGTGAGGTAAGCGTGTGATCCCTCATAACCCATAAGCCCCGCCCAGAACTTAAACACAAATCGTAAGGGAGATGAGTGGTCACTGTTTACCCAGTCTGTAACAAAGTAACAAAGGACGTCAACATGAACTTGTGACAGAAAGGTCGCTCGTTCTCCGAGTGGTGGCGACCCATGAGTTTGTTTTTACATCGCACTCGGTCTTCCTTGTCTGATACATTTCGTTTTATTGTCACCCTTTTGCGAAATCAGCAACAAAATAAAGATTACAAACAAAATACAAACCACCACCAACAAAAACAAGAATGCGGCTACTTTCGATTGGGACCTCTGATAGGAATAATTTGTTTTCTTCATCTTGATCAGTCCTGCCTAAGACGGCCACCTGTCTTATACGGCCACTTTTCTCCTAGACAATGGGTGGCCGTCTTACACAGGTTTGAACTACATCAAAACATGTCCCACATTTTGGCGATTTTTTCCTATATGAAGGTCCTCCAACATTTTGCAAACAAAAATCCCAATAACTTTTTTATTTATCAATGGATTTTAAAAATTTTAAAACCATAGATCTTAGAATTTACTCTAGTTTCATTTAAGTCCATTTTTAAGCAATTAAGATGAAAATTTAATTTTTCATTGTCATTACTAACCGTTATAGTACAGTAACTTTGATAGTACACTAATAGTACTTAGGGATATCTGTAACTTCTTCTTAGGAAAAGCTTTCTACAGGCCTACTGCCTCGATATTGTCAACATACACTCAGCCATTTCTCTTTCTACAGGCCTACTGCCTCGATATTGTCAACATACACTCAGCCGTTTCTCTTTCTACAGGCCTACTGCCTCGATATTGTCAACATACACTCAGCCGTTTCTCTTTCTACAGGCCTACTGCCTCGATATTGTCAACATACACTCAGCCGTTTCTCTTTCTACAGGCCTACTGCCTCGATATTGTCAACATACACTCAGCCGTTTCTCTTTCTACAGGCCTACTGCCTCGATATTGTCAACATACACTCAGCCGTTTCTCTTTCTACAGGCCTACTGCCTCGATATTCATCAATTGGAATTTGTTGTAATGTCCGTGGTGTTCTTCCACTTTGGGAGTACACAGAACTGTTTAGCCGCAGCGTGAATGCCGACGACTACTGTGGGACGTCACAGCACCATGTGATGTGACCATAGGCAGACTCCATCTTGGGATCCCTAGCTCTGTTGTTGCCGCCACCCTCCGCTTTCTTTTTGTAGCTCTGTAAAAAATGAGTGGAAAAAAACAGGGCAAACTTGGATTAAAAACTCTTAGTGTACGCCCGCCGATTCCATGTTTTTATGCAGCCTTTTTTTGTGATTTTTAGGGGGTCGTGGTAAACTTAATTTTTTTACCTGTGTTTTTGTATTGTTTGTTTGTTTAGTATAGGGTTTTACGGCGCTCGCAACTGCATAAGGTCATATGAGCGTGCGGGACACACCTAATACTTTTTCGTTGGTAGGAAATTTTGAATTTTGCCCGGGTGGCGGCCGAAGCCTACTCTTATCGATTTTAGACCACCAAGGGATCTTTAACGTGCACAACTTGCACACGGGCCCTCCGAGATTTTTCGCCCTTGTCCGAGAAGGCTAGGTGTAGATCTTTCCTACCAGAAGATCAGGGGTGTGGCAGAATGACAGCAGTTAGGAGGAGCCAATGAGTAGCAGTAGAAAGGCTGCAGAAAGAGTCAGGAGCCCAGAGGAGGGGGCAAAGGAGGTGAGGGGGTGGGGGCAGAAAGTGGAAATGAAAGCAGACAACAGAACATTGTTAGAGATCAGGAAAGGATGTGAAAGGAGACAATTTTAGAGAAGAAAATTTTTTGGTCGCTACCCGGAATCGAACCCGGGACCTTTGAATGAGAGGCCAACACCTTAACCTCTAGGCCACGAGAGCCCCCTAATTGTATGACACATCAACATTTTCAGAAATGAACAAACAATTCAACCTTGGTAAAGAAAAAGAATATATCAGGCATGAGAGAAGAGAATGTGACTTGCCGTGTTCCAACTAAGTTGTCTGCCGTGTGGTGTTTGGTTGTTCTTGGGGGATCCCACGATGCACTCTGTCGGTGCCACAGGCCCGAGCTCTCCGCTGAAGTAACTGCAGGAACAACCGAGACTTGAGCCCCAGTCATCCATGTTCTGCATATATAGTCTGTTTACACAACCAAATGATTCATCAGGTCCTCGTTCATGACACCTAAGAGAAAGAGACTGATAACACAAAGTAACAGCACCCCCCCCCCCCTCCCCTTTTCCTTTCACTTACAAAAATTTTTTGAAATAATTCTGGGTCCTGAGATTTGTTTAGAAGACAATTCCGAAAGCAGGAGCAGACTGGAAAAGTTTGGGTTTGGAAACTTTTAGCCTCTAACTGAAAGGGGTAGGCTCAGTTTAGAGAAGGAAAAGGATGATAATAATTATAGGGTGTTAGATCTGGCTACAAGTTTTCCTTGTCTTATGTGGCTTTCAAATCAGCTTTTTCTCATTTGATTTTTGCCTTTTAAATCTTTGTTTCTGTTCTAAACCATGCCCCTGCTCTCCGGAACTTGAAGACTAAATGGTTTCAGTTTCTATAGATTTCTTGTAAGTTTTTTAAAAAGCAATGTGATTCAGATTTTCTATTTTTTACTCTTTACTTGAAAGAATTATTTATTTTTACGAATTCTTCCTGATATTAGATCATGTCTTTTGCATTTTCTTGAGTTTTGTCAGAGAATTGCCAAGAACCAGAAAAGATTTATGTTTTGTATGTTTCTTACAGACAAAGTGATCAATTTCCTTTCTCAATTTTAGCTTTGTTGTAGATCATAATTTTCTATCCGTTTTCTTTGTTGTAAGAATATCAGATGGCACGTCTTCTCATCTTTTGCAAGAGACCTCCTCATAATGTCTTTGTACAAGAATTTGTTCAATTCTGTTCATGTCTTTATGAACTAAAGTAATGGATCTATTGTGTTGTTGAGTTATATGCAGACTGGCATTGCCTCAATAACTCTGTTCCCTTTTTGATTTTGTGAGCCACTCATTGCCTCATTCTGGTGTTCCTTTTTATGAGCCACTCATTGCCTCAATAACTCTGTTCCCTTTTTATGAGCCACTCATTGCCTCAATAAATCTGGTGTGTCCACTAGCGAGAGCCACTCATTGCCTCAATAACTCTGGTGTGTGGGTGGTTGGCGTGTGCTCTGGTGTTCCCTTTTTGTGACGGGGAAATACCCTGTGCTGTCACTGTGAGTTGTGAGTGCTTGGAGGCCACAGATTAGAATCTATGTGCACTGTAGAATAGGTCCTGTCATTTCCACATATATATGTGTGTCAAAGTGTTATTTCTTGCGGTTTTCCCTCTGTTTAGAAATTTGTCAAAATGTTGCCCATTGAGTGAAGCTGAGGCTGTTATCATTACATTATTATTATTACCCTATGGTTTACTGTCAATTTTATAATAACCATTGATGTGTTTAGTCTGAAGGCATCATAGATGTATATCTGCAAGGCCGTGATTGAGTTGTACATATATATATATAAGTTCAGCTGATTTGTTAAATTTGCTCGTTAATTGTACTGCACAAACTTAGGTTTGTGGAGTGGGGCTGGATCAAACAGAGGCTACATTTGTTGCATAGACAGTGAGGCAGGTCTGTTTGTGCGGAATCTGCTGAGTGTATTTGTGCCGTTATTGTTTGAAGTAAGTAGCTACTTTTGTTGGGAATGGTTATTGTTTGATGATCGAGTGTCATGAAATGTCCTAACTGTTTTTTCATAATTGTAGGAGTGGATTTGTCTGTTGCGATTATTCCTTGTTGTGAATGCAAAGGACTATAAAGACAGAGATTGTGTTGTGTGTCAAGTTGTGTCAGCGTTTGGCCTAGATTGTGTTGTGTGTCAAGTACTGTCAAGTTGTGTCAGCGTTTGGCATAGATTGTGTTGTGTGTCAAGTTGTGTCAGCATTTGGCATAGATTGTGTTGTGTGTCAGCGTTTGGCATAGATTGTGTTGTGTGTCAAGTTGTGTCAGCGTTTGGCATAGATTGTGTTGTGTGTCAGGTTGTGTCAGCGTTTGGCATAGATTGTGTGGTGTGTCAAGTTGTGTCAGCGTTTGGCCTAGATTGTGTTGTGTGTCATGTTGTGTCATGTTGCTAGGAGACAGTGAGAAGATGGGGTACACAAAGGTGCTACTTGCTTTTGATTTTGATTAGTTAATAGAATTGTAGAGTACAGTGATGGTTATTATAGTGTATAAGTAATATAGTACAGTGATGATTATTATAGTGTATAAGTAATATTGTACAGTGATAATTATTATAGTGTATAAGTAATATAGTACAGTGATGATTATTATAGTGTATAAGTAATATTGTACAGTGATAATTATTATATTGTATAAGTAATATTGTACAGTGATAATTCTAGTGTTTCACAGTAAAGGTAAAAGTAACCTCACAGCCTCGCATACAAACGACTTTTCTATAGCTGTCTTTTTATTTCGATGTACATTTGACCTCCACCACAGATTTGTTGTCTTGGTTTCAGTTTTCCCTTGATGGGGTCCTATCAATCAAATCAATGTAATTGGACAATGAAAAGGCATACAAGTGATCAAAAGTTGTCAAAGTGATCAACAGAAAACAACCGCTCAAGCCTCTCCCCCCGTGACAATCTGTGGACTTTTCTTGCCGTGTGTCTGTTTTTGTGCTCAGATATTTCTGATCTGTGAACTGTTGGTCCCTGCTGAAGCCTAAGCTATGGGGGGAGGTGTACGAAACCTTCCTCTTCCTTTATACCTGATGAATGTGTCCCTGCTGAAGCCTAAGCTATGGGGGGAGGTGTACAAAACCTTCCTCTTCCTTTATACCTGATGAATGTGTCCCTGCTGAAGCCTAAGCTATGGGGGGGAGGCGTACGAAACCTTCCTCTTCCTTTATACCTGATGAATGTGTCCCTGCTGAAGCCTAAGCTATGGGGGAGGTGTTCAAAACCTTCCTCTTCCTTTATACCTGATGCATGTGTACCTTTGAGTTGGCATAATTTATCCTTTAAATTCATGTTTTCCAGTTCTTGTAATATATTTATAACGCTGCTGTTCTGTAATATTTTGCCTTGGAATAGTGAGTGGTTGGAGGGTGTCACTGGTAGGTCCTACTTCTTTACTTTCCCTCTGTTGTTTCTATCTTTCCGTCTTACTTTTCCCCAGCACTAAATGACCGTTATTGTGTTCATGTGCTTCTCTTTACTCAAACAAACAAACAAGCTTTGGGACAAATTTGTGATAAATTATCTGTTGAGAGAAGCAGCAGTTGAGGTCGTCCACTATGTCACACTCTGGGCTGTTTTGTATTTGTAATTTTTGTTTTGTTTTTGTGGCTTGTGACAATAATTGTTTTGTTTATGTTTGGCACATTGTATCCAGTTGTAAACGTACACGTACAGTAGGAGATCCATGTATATGATGTTGTCAACGTACACGTACAGGAGATCCATGTATATGATGTTGTCAACGTACACGTACAGGAGATCCATGTATATGATGTTGTCAACGTACACGTACAGTAGGAGATCCATGTATATGATGTTGTCAACGTACACGTACAGTAGGAGATCCATATATGATGTTGTCAACGTACACGTACAGGAGATCCATGTATATGATGTTGTCAACGTACACGTACAGTAGTAGGAGATCCATGTATATGATGTTGTCAACGTACACGTACAGTAGGAGATCCATGTATATGATGTTGTCAACGTACACGTACAACAGATCCATGTATATGATGTTGCCAACTGTTTGCCAGATCGAGGAAATGCAAACACCTTGCACGAGCTGTGGCAGCGTTCAGTGACAAGCCAAGGAGTTTTATTTTGATCTATTTCCAAGAAGATCTGAGCAGAGTGTTTTCGTGTGTCATGACAACAGTGTTGTGTGACACACCGTACATTTTCATGTCTGTTTTCTTTTACTTTATTTTGTATTCATTGTTTTAAATGACATTTGTTACGACTGTCTTCAGAAGCAAAGACTTCAGCCCAGTTTTCCCTGACATTGACAGTTGCTGATCAACTGTTCTGTACTGATATATGTAACCCATGTTGTTCTGTACTGATATATGTAACCCATGTTGTTCTGTACTGATATATGTAACTCATGTTGTTATGTGTATTTGATTTGTTGTTGTTGATTACTTTCCTAGATGGAGATGTGTTAGAGTTGGTTGAGATGACTTTGTGTTGTTTGTGAGAAGCCGCCGTGAGCGAGTGTTCTCATTTTTGTCAGATTTCGATTTTGCCCTTCCTTTTTTCAAGAGACTGCTTTTGTTTCCCAAGAATGACCCAATAAATCTTTCCTTCCTGCCTTTGAATTCTATGCCTTTGTTACGTCTTTTTCTTGACTTCACTTGCATAGATAGATAGATAGATATCCACGTATCATTTTTGGAAGTAGAAGTGTGCCTGAGGTTTTTTTTAATGATACGGGAGTCGTCGTAGTGAAATCAGGCGCTAGTCCAAGTAGCCCACATGGAATGAAAAGAAAGAAATCAGCGGTTTTTTTTACCAACTACCAGTTTAACAAGTTTGGTTCTTTTTGGTTCACCATCACATTTTATCATTTTATTTTAAAACACATTTTTTGGTGAATTTTAGTGAGAAACGTTGATTGAAGTTAATAAAGGCCAAAAAATGTAACTTTTCAGTTTCCAAGGACTCTCAAGCTGTGTCAGTCCCCAAACTTTGGCAGCCATTCTCTCACTAAGTTAACTTCTGAAACTGAAACCATCTCCTCCAATTACGAAGATCTCGACTTCTATTCAAGATAGATGGTTATTTTTTTCGTAGATGGCAAGACAAATGAACGAGCAGAAAAATGACACCAATAACTCCACAAACCCAAAAACTGACAAGTGCCTGATTCTGCCACATTGTGACATGTGTATGTTTTACTGTGGCCAGATCTAGATCGAGAGATTCTAGGGCTTCAGGAGTTGGAATCTCTGTACAGTGGGCCGTATCTGAACTTTTCTTTTTTGTTGTTGAGAGGGTTTAATTTGTTCCTTCTTCAGAGTTGAATGTTGATTCAGAGCTTCTGGTTGTCTCATGGGGAAAAGACACAACACTCTGTCGGAGAAGTCAGGAGAGTACTGGACTGAACAATGTTTATTGTGGTAGCAAAACTTGTCACCATGGTGTGTACATACATGACACACTTGTCACCATGGTGTGTACACAACACAACTTGTCACCATGGTGTGTACATACATGACACAACTTGTCACCACGGTGTGTACATAGATCTACATGACACAACTTGTCACCATGGTGTGTGCATACATGACACAACTTGTCACCATGGTGTGTACACAACACAACTTGTCACCATGATGTCACTGTCTGTCTACACACAAGACACAACATAACTTGTCACTGTCTGTCTACACACAAGACACAACACAACTTGTCACTGTCTGTCTACACACAAGACACAACACAACATAATACAGTGTAATAGGACAATGTGCTCTGGGGCCAGGAGGAGGTTCCGAGACTGACAAAATTGGTCGCTTTTTTTAAGGACATGCGGGCTAACCCAGATTTCGGGGGTTTCCTGAAATCTTGATCTACATCCAAAATGGGGCATTGCCCTACGTATAGGAGAAGTTTGGTTTCATTGGTGTGTATATTTGTTTGGCTATAGAGAAAACTCTCCTTGTCTTTTAAAGAAACTGAACAAGGGTCCAAAAACTTTACCTTCGGTTTTCTCAAAACAGCATTTTTCGGGATAGCCCCCTTGTGCTTAAACGCGACCAATTATGAATGACACACATTAGAATAGAGATGACCTCCCTTTGACCAGTAAATTGTGGTCGCCCCAGATAGGAGGGTTGATGATATGATGATAAGTGAAGTTCTATGAATGGAACAAATAACGTGCCTGTAAATGACAGAATCAGTGAACAGATTCAAGAACTTCCCTTCCCAAGCTTCCAACTACAGGAGAGTTCGCTGAAACAGAAATATGCGCTGTGTAATACGGACATTGGATCAAGGGATAGATCCATTTGACAACTGATGGTGGTCTAGCTGTAGTTTCTGTCTGTGGGGGGCTGGAGGGTGCTGCAGGTCTGTCTGTCTGTCTGTCTTACTTTGTCCCATTTTGTTTATATATAATATATGGGAACCCTTTATATATAAATATATATATATATATATATATATATATCA